CGCACGTGGGGTGAGAGTCCGACAGCAAGAGGCACGCCCAGGACTATCAGCCAGAGTTGGGTTCAGATCTTGTTAAATCTGGGGTTTTAAATACATGGGCTGCCCTGGCCAGGTTGGCTCAGCGGATAGAGCGTTGGCCCTCGGACTGCAGGGCCCCGGGTTCGATTCCCGTCAAGGGCAGGTACCTCGGTTGCAAGTTCTCCAGTCTCGGTTGGGGTGTGTGCAGGAGGCAACCAATGGATGTGTCTCTCTCACATTGATGTTTCTCTCTGTCTCTCCCTCTCCCTTCCACTCTCTCTAAAATCAATGGGGAAAAATATTCTCGGGTGAGGATTAACACACACACGCAAAGTGAAAAGAAATGCTGGGGCTCCTGTGAGGTGCCTCGGGGACCCCCACCCCCACCCCGGTGTGGGAAAACCACTCCAGCCAAGCTGAGGTCCTGGTGGCTTTGGGCTAATGGGTGGCCAGGGTGGGGGCAGAGGTGAGGGGGCGGTTGGCGTGGCTGGGAGGGCTGGGTGACACTGCTCCTCTCTCCTTCCAGCCGCCGCGCCCCCACCCACCTGGGGAGCAGGCTGCAGGTAGAGCTGCCCGGGGCCTTGGGTGCGGGGTGTTTGGGGTGGGTGGGGGCTGCCCTGAGTGCTGTGTGGTGCTCTGGGTCCCCTCCTGTTGGTCCCCTCCTGTCCCTTCCTGGGAACCGCTCCATGCAGGCCCTTCTCACCCACTTTCACTGGACCCACCCTGCTTGTGAGGTTGCAGCGCTAGTCAGCGTCACCCCCACTCTGCAGTGGGTACCCCAAACTGCAAGGTGGGAGGAGGGGCTGGCCAAGGCCCATGAGTTAGTGGCTGCCAGCTGGCCCAGGTCCCTGAGCAAGGTCTCCAGGCCCAGTGCTGGGCTCCCCCCTGAACCCCTGCCAGCCAGGGAGGCGTCCCTGCTTTGGAAAGCAGGGCTGGTAAGCGTCCCTGGAGCCCAGTCCTGGGCCACCCCTCCCTGCGCCGGGAGGGCAGCGGGCCGAGGGACCAGTCCAGAGTCACTTGGGGTGGCCCCTCTGAGGGGCACTGCCACTGGCCACTGCAGACAGACCAGCCCGGGCTCCTGGGTCTGGGGTTCCGAGTGGTCACCTATGGGCAGGCTGCTGGTTGTGGATGGGCACCCCTGTGTCTGAGCTCACCCTGGAGCCCCCCACCCATAGTCAGGCACTGCTGCCTGCCTTTCCGGGAGAGCACACAGTAGGTGCTTCTTGAACACAGACCTGCTGCAGCAGACGGTCCCTCCAGGGGCAGGAAGGAGAGGTGAGAGCAGCTGCCCCTGAGTGAACCCCGAAAGGGGGCCTGCCCACAAGAACCCCATGTGGCGGGAGTCCCCCCATGGCCTATTCTGACAGTGCTCGCAGGTGTATGGGGAGCGATGGCCCAGGGGAGTTCCTGCAGCTTTGCCAGCAGGAGCCCTGGTGGGAGGTGGGCCTGGGGCAGAGCCATAGCCCGTAGAGGCCCAGGGAGGCTGGTGGCCTGTGGTGACAGCCCCGGACAGAGCCTGGTGTCCTTAAGGGTGGACACGGAGGCTCCGCAGACTCCTGAGTCGCCCTCCCGGTCGACGGGGTAGGGGAGCCAGTGCTGTGTTTGCAGCCCTGGGTGACTTCCTTCCCTTTTAAGGATTCAGGAAATCCCGCTCAGCTCCTGCTGTGGTGTCAGATCCTTTTCCACGCCAGGGGGACTGCAGGCCAGCAGGCGTCCTCCCTGGGGAGCACCGTGCCCCCTGCCCCTGTCCCTGTCCCCACCCCCATCCCCACCCCCGAGGTGCAGGCCCAGCCGCCCCAAGGCCATTTCAGCTCCCTTCCCCTCAGTGATGAAAACCTGGGGGTTTCTCTCTTCCAGGGCACAGACAGGCAAATACCAGGATTTTAATTTGGATTTAAGTGCAATTACGGTTCTTCATTTGGATGCGTCATTAGTCACGCTGCCCCTAGTGAGAGATTGTGCGTTTTCCCACCAGCTCCGAGGCTGCTAATAAAGTTCTGCGGACGTGCAAATATTTACCGCGAGCACTGAGGCAGGGGTGGGAATGGCATGCTGCTAATTAAAAAACTCCCCCGCCCGGTGCACACACCTCCTCCCAGGGCAACTATCTGTGGGGAGGGAGGAGACACAGGCCGGTGTTTTGAGTAACAACACATGAGCTGCTTCAGAACCATTTGGTCCAGGGCCAGAGAAGCTGGGAGGAGGGGACAGCCCCGAGCAGAACCTAGGCCGGAGGACAGGGCGGCTCCAGTGCCTTCGAGGGCGTGGCAGTCCCGTTGTAAGATCGGGGGTGTGCCAAGGTCTCCCTGGTGGGACCCTGCCACATTTTGGGGGCCACCGTGAGAGGGTGATGAGCAGGAGGGGCCCCCAGGCATGGCTGCTGCTGCCTGGCCCCTGGCCCTGCCCTGGCCAGCCTCCTCCCCTCCAGCGTTTGTTGGGGAAACTCAACAGGCTGCTGATTTATGGGACGTTCCCCTGCATATTATCTGCCCAACAGAGTTCCCTCCGCCTTTGAAGTAGGAAAGGGTGCTTGGGCCAGAAATGACACGTGGCTTCTGCTCGGCTGGCCCACGGGGCCTGCGCGGATTGGGCATGGCCCCCGGGTTCTCTCCCTCTCCGGGCCTGGGTCCCAGCCCCCAGCCCTGCCTGGAGGGGTGGGGAGGGTGTTGCTTTGTCCTGAAAGAAACTTACATAAGGCCAGTTACGTGTGTATGTGTGTTCATTCATTCATTCCTTCACTCACTCACTCACTACTCCCACTTGCATTCGCCCCTCTCTCCCTCCAGAGGGGCGCTGTGGGGGGCGCCCTGAGCAGGGCCTTGTGGGGGGGTGCCCTGAGGCGAGCCCCAGCACCTGTGGGAGGCAGGAAGACTTCCTGTGGATTTGGGCCTCAGGGGCTGGAGAGGGGGTCCTTGGGAGTGTGGAGAACCCAAAGGTGGGAAGCTGGAGCAGAGGAACAAAGGTCCAGGGGTGGGAGAGCTGCACCCCATTCACTCACCCACTCACCTGTTTATTCAGCTGCTCAACAAACGTTTGTGCAGCTCACAGCGGGGAGCACCATGAAGCGCCTGCCTGGATGGGATGTAAAGGGCCACAGCACGGGGTGGGGGTGGGGGGGGTGGGGAGGGTGCCCAGGGCAGACCCGAGCCCAGAGGGAGGAGCCACTCCTAGGGCCTGGGCAAGTCCTGATGGGCACCGACCTCAGCCACCCACCCCCCGCCCACCACTCGCTGCCCGCCTGTATCCTCACCCTAACCTCCCCCCCTCTCCCCTGCAGCAGGCGAAATCTGGAGAGTTCCGGACGCTGCGGAAAGGCTTCTCCCCGTACCACTCGGAGTCCCAGCTCGCCAGCCTGCCCCCCTCCTACCAGGACGCCCTGCAGAACGTAAGTGCCCCTCCCCCAAGAGCCCCCCTGTCCCCTTGTGGACCTGGCACCTCTGGAACCCTTGGTCCACATGCCAGGGGAGGGGTGAGGCTCGGACCGGCTAGTGACTTGCCGGGGCCTCGGACAGTGGCCGAGCTGGGTCAGGGGAGAGCAGCGGGTCAGGCTTGGCCTTCCTCACTCCCCCGCCTTCTTTCTCGCAAGGGGCCTGGGCTCCAGGACCCTCCGGGCTCGTAAGGGCCCAGTGTGGTGGTTGGAGGTGGAGGCCCAACTCATGGTGATGTGTGGCAGCACCGGGCAGTGTCCAGAGGCCACGAGAGCGGCTGCCCAGGCCTAGCCATCGTCCGACCGTGCAACTCGGTGGCCTGTGTCATCCCTGGGACACACAGCAGCGAGAGGGTGCGGCTGGCCCTTGGGGTGGGCTGGGTGTATATATGTCCGGTCACTGCCCTGGCTCTGTAACAGGGTGGGTGTGTGGATCATGGACCTCATTTACCCTCCGGGCCTCCAAGGTTCTCCTGGGCTCTGACCAGCCCCGAAGGGAAGGGAGGGGCGGGGGGGAGGGGCAGCTCTCTGGGACATGGATGGCTGTCCTGGGGTAGATGTGTCTGTCAGACTGTGTGACATCCTGTGACCACATACACGGACCTCCAGGGGCAGAGAGCCCATGAGCGATGGCCAGGAACTGGGAGGAGGGGAAGTGGGGGGCTAGGGGTGTGGGGCTTCTCTCTGGGTGATGGGAGTTTCCTCTTGTGGGGACTGCACACATCTGTGGATGCGCTAAACACCAATAGGCACTCACCCTCCCGAGCTCCGAAGACGATCGTAACAAGAGCGGCCAGCGTTTACCGAGTGTCGGCTGCGTGCGGTGGGCTCACCACGCACTCCAGCCACAGCAAGGCAGGGAGGGCAGGTGGGCCGGACTCCGGCCCCGGGTCCTGGTCCTGCTTCTCCCCCCACCCACCCTGCCAGCAGGGATGCTCAGGGCTCCTCTGCAGAGCTGTCCTGGCTTTGCAGCGGCTGCTGCCGGGCGTCTGGTCTCTCCTGAGGCCCCCGCACCTGGCCCAGGAATGTAGCTGCTGACGCTGTGCAGAGAGCAAGGCCCGTCGGCAGCAGATGCTCCAGATGTTTATCCAGGAGCCTGTGGCTGAACCAGGGTCCAATCCTGCATGAGTAAGGGCCCCGAAAAGCCAGTGACACCCACCGGGTGGCCCCTCCACTCCTGCATCCCCCCGCCCAGCTCTGTCCATTCTGACGGCGCACAGTGATGGAACGCTGTGTCCCCAAGCCTCTCAGGGGCCTGCAAACTATAAAGTGCTGTGCACCTGGCTGGCTGCTGGGATGTGCGGCGGGATGTGAGCAGAGGGAGCCGGGGTGGGTGGCCAAGGTTGTGTGGCTATTGGGACTCCCATTCCTACCCCCCTCCCCCTCCCCTGCCCCTATAGGTTTGCCTAGGCTGCACACTTCCTGTTAGTGGAGACATAAAAACTACTGTGGACCCCTGTGACAGCGCCATGTTTCTGAGGTCCACCCGCGCTGTAGGGCGTATCAGTCCTTTGGTCCTTTTCGTTGTTGAGTGATAGTCCATTGCGTGGGTGTACATTTTTTTATTCATTTACCAATGGCTACATATTTGGGTTGTTTCCATTTTCTGCCTATTGTGAATGGTGCTGCTGAGAGCATTTCTGGGCAGGACGTGGGCACATAGGTTTCCAGTTCTCTCAGGTAGACACTAGTCTCCTGTCTTTTGGCCCCTGCTCTGGAGTCCCACAGACCCGGGTTCGAGGCTCAGCCCCTTGTTTGCTAGCTGCTTGGCCTTGGCAAGTCATTCAGCCTCACTCTCCTCATCTGTGCAATGGGCATGTAAAAAGCTAGTGTCTGCCCAGAGGGCTGTAGTAAGAACCCAGAGGGCAGAGGAAGCGTGTGTCCTGAGCTCTCCCGTCTGTGGTCCTCCTCTTCCGGGGCTGCTGTGCTTGGGGAATGCCCCGGAGGTAACAGCCCTGATGGCATATTATTTGTACACATTATGTATCCAGTGGTGGCTTCATTTACAGGGTTCCCATGGCCATACTCTGGCAGCCTGGCATGCCGGCCAGGAGAGGGCTGCATGGCACAGCCTTCCTCGGCCACTCCTGGCTTCCCTCCTGCCTCTGCTCGGGGAATCAGCCTCCTTACCGAGCAGGTAGTTCAGGGAGTCCCAGGTACAGACAGGACTTGAGGCCACAGGTGCCAAAGGCCAGGTGCCTGGCTGTACAGTGTGTGTGTGTGGCTGTCGCCCCCTCCTGGCCGGTGCGGGCAGTGCAGCCTTCTGCCTCGGGTCGCTCACAGTGTGGCCTGCCTTCCACCTGCCCCCAATCCCCCACCCCAGAGCTTCCAGATCTTTTTGGTTCCCCCATATGACAGACCTGGCCTGGGCAGCAGAGGCCAGGCAGCCTGGACTGCTGTTAGGGAAACGGCTGCATCCCAGGGCGCTACACGCACCCTGGTACACAAGTACCCTTTGCGTTGTCCAGCCAAGGCACAGAGTGAGTCGGGCCCAGCCTTCCCAGACCCCAAGGCCGTGGTTCCCTGCCTCCCTGGAGCCAGCAGTAGTGGGGAGAGTGCAGGGGAATTGGCTGCCTAGGCCCTGAGGGTGTCTGCAGGGCATGGCCTCGATGGGCAGAATCCCAGGGTAGTGGCCCTCAGCCAACCTCCCCTCGTCTTCCCTGCTCACATGCTCCCGTGCAGGCTGGGCAGTCTCGGTGCTCTCTGTTCCCTCTCAGGCCCACTCTCAGCGCTTTCTGAGCACCTGGCTCCTATGGGCCCTGGGACCCCACCCTTGAGGCCTGGGGCCCCCACCCCATGAGGCCTCTTTGTCTTTGAGTTTTCCCGTGGGGCCCTGAATGCAGGCTCCTTCTTGCAGCCTGAGGCAGAAGCCCTGCCCCCCCCCTGGCCCCCCCCTTCCCCCCCCCCCCCCCCCGGCCACCTGGGCCAGTGACCCTTGTCGGGAGGAAGCTGGGGAGGCCATGGGCAGACACTGGCTCTGCCACAGATGGGCAGGGCGCTGGGGGATGGACCCCCTCCTCGGCTCATCCCCTGCTGCTCCCCCAAGCTGATATGGGAGTTGGGTGCCTAATTGCCAGTTAGAGTGTTTGCCGAATCTGGTGGCCAGACGGCCTGGAGGCAGGGCTCAGGGCTGGAAGACTTGTAACCCCGGGCCTGGGGGGTGGAGTTAAGGTGAGTCACCCACTGGCAGCTGGGGGAGCAGGAGGGGGCTTTGGGATCAGGACACCTAGGGTTGGCGAGGTGACCTTGGTGAGTCTCTGCCCTCTCTGAGGGAGTCCCAGGTACAGACAGGACATGAGGCTTTCTTTGCACAACGGATAATAGGCCTCCAGGTGTGCTGCATGGGGAGCCTGTGGGGCGTGGTGGGTGCTGCTCCTCGGCCCTGGCCTGGCCCTCATCCTGCCGCCTCTCCCAACACCTGCCCCCATTTCCTGCCTAGCCCCTGGCCCCACAGCATCAGGGACCTCACTCAGAGCTGGTCACACCCGCGGCCGCCACCTGGGTCTGTCTATTCAGGGTGAGCTAAGCCTCATGATTCCCTCCCACAGGGCCCAGCCTGCCCGGTACCCGAGCTGTCCTCACCCCCCTCCACCGGCTACAGCCCCGCAGGACAGAAGCCCGAGGCTGTCGTGCATGCAATGAAGGTGAGGGCCAGGCCCTGCCCACCCTCACCCAGGTCCCACTCCCTCAGAAGCCCGATCCCTGGTGTGATGCGGGATGGGGGACCTCTTTGGGGGCACCTGAGCAGCAGGGTGGGACCTGTGTGGGGACTGGGTGGCTGTGACTGCCTGGAACACTGTCGGGGAGGGACTCAAAGATGCCGGGTGCCCATAGCAAGTGTGTCACCTGTCTGCCGTCCCTGCAACTGGGGAAACTGAGGCCTGGGGGTGGGGGAGGGCAGGCACTCCCTCAAGGTTGGAGTCATGGCAGGACGGGCCAGGTAGGAGCAAAGCCCAGGCCTCCCAGGCCCAGCCGCTGCTCAGGTGCAGGGCCTTCCTGCTCAGGGCCGCCAGCTGCAGGTCCTGAAGACGCGCTCCTGCCTCCAGGGGGCACATCTCCCGCTCCTGCGCCCCTCATCTCCTCCCATTCCCCTTCCCCCCGTGCGTGTGCCACGGTTGCCACATGCACACATGTGTGCACACCCCATGTGCATGAGTGGGGGTGTCCTCGGTCCTCCTGCTCATTAAGCACAAGCTGGGCCCTGGTCAGAGCGAGTCCACCTGTCGGAGGGCGGCCCTGCCCCCAGGTGACCGACCCCTCCTCAGCTCGGCCCCCAGTGAAAGGGGTGCGGCTTCCCTTGTGTGGTGGGTGCAGTGTCACTGGGTGAGGGGAGAGGACACAGTGAGGAGGGATGGCCTGCCCCTCAGGTCTCCACACCGCTGACCCGGGCCCTGTTCCCCGCAGGTCCTGGAGGTGCACGAGAACCTGGACCGGCAGCTCCAGGACAGCTGCGAGGAGGACCTGAGTGAGAAGGAGAAGGCCATTGTCCGCGAGATGTGCAACGTGAGGCGCTTCTCGGGCCAGGGTCGGGGGGCGTCCTGGCCGGACACTGGGAGTTGCTACCTTCCCCGGGGGAAAGGATGGTGACCTGGAGGGCTGGCTGGAGGCACTGGAGCCTGGGAGCGCTGGCCTGGCCTCATCCCCACCCCCACCCCGAGAATGAATGGGGTCCCTGATCTCAGGGTCTGTCCATCCCGGGAATGTGCCTCTGGCCCCCAGGACTGGTCTTGTTTACCCCTCATGTCCTGCCCCTCAGCCCCGGTCCCAGGTGTCTGGCTCCTGGCCTCCCAGCTGGGTGGTGGCCCTGGTGACTGCTGGTGCTTAGCCTGAGGTGCAGGTGGCACCCCCACTCTGTGGGCCTGCAGGGCTGGGGCTGCCTTTGTTCTGGAAGCTGGCTGCCCCTGACCCACCTCATCAACATGGATCCCCTCTGGACCCTTGAAGGAGCCAGAGGGAAGGGTGGTTCGCAGGGGCTGAACTGGGGTCTCCCATGGAGTGGGGTGTTCTGAACCCCCTCCTATGCTGCCTTCTGAGTCCATGGGCCCCACTGGACAGCTGCGAGGCTGAGCCCACACCCTAGTGGTGACCTGCTCAGGATGGCAGGTGTGGCCATGAGGATGGACATGCAAAGACCTGGCCTGAGTGTTTCCAAGCTTTACGTGGCCTCAGTCCCCCCCTGGCCCATGGCTCTGGGATGTGTGCACAGGCCAGCTGGCGGGCTTGGGCTGGCCCTGCCGTCACATCTCGCCTCTCCCCGCAGGTGGTCTGGAGAAAGCTGGGAGACGCCGCCAGCTCCAAGCCCTCCATCCGGCAGCACCTGTCTGGGAACCAGTTCAAGGGGCCTTTGTAGGCCTCTCCTCCGTGGACGTGGACTGTCCCTGCCTGGGATCCCCCCAGGGGAGTGGCAGGCCTTCCGGCTGAGCCTCCGTCTTCTTCTTCTGTGATGAATTGTACATAGGATGCTGCCTGCTGTGGCTCGGCAGCCATGGGTGTGGCCCCTGCTGGCCGGGCCTCCATCTCCACATCTCACACCAGCAAACTGGGAGGCGAGACGCTGGCTGTCCCGCAGCACAGCAGCCCGGACGGCCCGTTCCCACTCTGGGCCAGGCTTCAGGCTCGCTGTGCGAGAACGGAAGGCTGCTCTGAGCTGCCCAGCGCAGGGATCATGCCAGGCTGCGCCCAGCACCTCACCAAGCCCTCCATCCTCTGGCTGCCACCACACTGGACAAAGGCCACTGGCAGCTGGACCCGGTGCAGGGGCACCCCTTCCCATCCACCCGCTGTGACTTGAACGCTGGCTCCCCAAGCACTGAGTCCCAAGAGCCACGGGCAGGGGAGCTCCCCAGCCCTTCCTCTGGCCTGTGCCCAGTCCCCTCCTGCCAGCTGCCGCCTGTTTTTAGAATCCACCCCTCCCCTCTCCCCCCAGTGTCACCCTGCCCTGTGCCAGGTGTGCCCTATATTTTGGGGACCCTCCGCTTCCATGGTTCACTCTGGGCCAGGAACACAGGAAGGCTGAGTGCAGAGTCCCCGGCTGAGCCCCACGAGTCCCCCTCTCCGATGGGTAGCACTGGTCATGGCTGGGCCTCCGGCCCACTGTGGTGTCCCCCCCGGAACCTGGCCCCATCCTCAGTCACTGTGGACAGAGCCGCATGGCTGCAGTGACAGGAGTTCTGTCCCCCTTGGAAGGAGCCTGACCTGGCTCTGGCTTTAATTTGCTGTGTGACCTTCAGCAAGTCACTCAGCCTCTTCAGGCCCGTGGTGCACAGTGAGGTCTCAGGTCCTCTTAGCCGGGCTCATGGTAGAGGCCATCACTGTAGTCAGCTGTGCTCACCTGCTGGAGAGGCTGCTGGGGGCCGGGCGGGGGCGAGGCCCGAGCTGAGTTCTGCTGCTTCGCTGCCTCCTCCAGGGGACAGTCCCTCTCCTCTCCGAGCCTGTGTCCTCCGAGGGAGCATGGGAGCATGAGGGTCTCCTTGCAGACTCTGGGGGACTAATGTGACTTTCATTGTAAATGACCATATATCAGTGGTAAAGTGCAGTATGGAGATTTTCACATTCATGTGAGGAAAATGAGTTGAGAGGGGGTAGGCGGTCGCTGGCATGACAGGGGAGGCCCCAGAACTTGGCAGGCCGGCCAGGCCACACTGTCAATGCGGTTGCAAGGCCTGTCCACTCACCCCATCAGCTCGTCCATCCTCGGACTCCCAGGTCCTGAGGGCTGCCCGCGGCCTTGTGCGGCTGGTACGGAAGAGCCCGAGGCCATCTTTGCATCAGGCAGCCTCGTCCAGGCCCCTGTGAGGGACGGGAACCAGGACCGGGCAGTTCCTACCGTCACCTGCCATTGGCGCCCTTGGGTTGTACACTCAGGGCAAAGGCTCTCGGTCCTCCTTGTGCCCGGGGGTGCGAGTGGGTGCTGCCCTGGGCATTACCGGGAGCGGCTTTCGAAGGCCCTTCCATCAGGTCGGACGGGAGCTCCCTGTCACATGGTGGTGGGTGACTCCTGCACCAGGGGGCCGCCAGCTGGGGTCAGAGGCCCCCCTCTGGTCGTGGAGTCCAAAGAAACACAAGCGGCCGAGGGGGAAGGGGCCATCTGGGTGGGCTCCATGTCCGGGAGCCCATTTGCCATGTTTGGATCAGGTCGGCTTTGCCACGACTGAAAATAAGCAATAAGGAAGGCCTCCTGGTACCTGCAGACGCTGCACAGCGGCCCGGGGACAGCGTCACAGGGAAGTGACCCTGTCCCCGGACTGCGGAGATGTCCAGGGAGGAGGTGGAGCGGGCCGTGGAGACCTTCCTGCCCGTCCCTGAACCAATCCTGTGTGGGACGGCTTTCAGGGATGGAACTGTACCTGTGACAGCCATCTCCCAACATAACATGCTGTTAGAAAAGCCAGCAGCAGAGCAGCGCTGCCTGACCCCACTGGGTCGTTCGCAGTTGCAGGGGAGCTCACAAGCTGGGGGGCTCCCATGGGCCTCACTACCGGGGCAGCCAGGGGGGTGCCAGCTCTGCCACTAACGGGTGTGTAGGTGACACTGGGTGACCGTCCGCCCCTGGAGCCTCAGCTTTGAGCTCAGGGTGGGAGGGGTGTGCTGACCTGGGTGTCCTTTCATAAAGGCCCCTTTGCTTTCCAAACCCTCCGCTTCTAGATCCCGCAGCCACGGGGACACCTGCGCCGTGGCCTGTTCCCACTGTGACGGAGCCCACCCTCAGCCTCCCCCGGGGGCCAGGCCCATCCTGGGATCGCCATCTGCTGGCCACTCTTCAGGGTGGTGCGTTTTTATCCAGAAGTGATTAGCTACACATCAGTGTTTAAAGAGAAAAAGTGACCTTTTTTTTCTTGAAAACTTGAGAGGAAACAAAATACTACTGATTTTTTTTTTTTTTTTTTTTAAGAAACAGTGCATGACTGCGGAGCGGGAGAGGTGTATATTTTCATAATGTGGGAGACTGGGCTGCTCTCCGGACCTGGTGGAACGTCTGGTTCCCGTCCCCGGGCCGCAGCCATGCTCTGTCTTCTGTAGGACGTGACCTCCTGAGAACGGCCAGCCCTGCCCTGCCCGGCTCGGTCCATTTCTACCTTCTATTGAACCACTTTGATTTGGGGAGAGAAAAAGAAATAGAACTTTTTGATAGTGTGGTAAAAACATTGAACTATTTTAGTAAAAGGTAACAGAGAAGACTGTGACAGTGTATACTTTGCGCTAGATAAATAAAGGCTCTTTGCAAGCCTCCATGGTGGTGTGCAGTGTGTTTGTCTCAGGCGATGGCTCGTTGGGCAGAGGGCCATGGCCCCTGGGAGCATTTCAGGTGGGGCTGCAGCCAGCACACAGCGTCCCCATTTGGGCCACTAACTGTTACTCAAGGGGCCTCTGCCTACTCCTTAGGCCAGAAATGGAAAGGATTTCAAATTCAAACCCTCATCTAACCTAGGAACCTCAGAGGCTGGCCCATGAGGGTGCTGCCCAGGAGATGTGGGTGAGGCTTGGCGGGCAGCGAGGCCCTCTGGGGTCCAGAAGGCGATCACACCCAGGGGCTACTGCAGGCCCCAAGCTCTGTCAGTAACAAAGTTTCAGAACTGCTTTTATTTGGATAACTGACTGAAGGAGTCTCCTGTGTAACCAAGATGGAAGTCACAGTATGTTGTTACATTCACACTTAAAAAATCTCTATGTACAGGAACTTGCAGATCGATGTAAACATACATCACTTCCCAAGTACATTCCTCCCCTTCTTCCCGGAGGAAAAAGAAAAAAAGCCATCCAACCAGGCAACCCCTTCAAAATAACTTTAATACAAAGATGTAAATATCTCTAAATCAAAAAGCTTCTTCTGACCGACTGGGTGTCATGGAAGAGAACACGGAATGGAAGTGATGACGACAGCTTGACTTCAGATGGAACTGGACTGTTTAAAACTGCGTATCCAGGAAAAATAGGCACTGATTTCTAGAAGGAAATTCACTCCTTACGGAAGCTATTTATTGAGCCAATATGGCTGGTTAACATTTTCACTAGTATAGTCACCCAGTGCAGGACGCGGCCCTCAGCCGACACCAGCACAGCTGGGCGGCCCGGGCACTGCCGAGGCTGTCCCCACTCCGGGCCTGGAGGACCATCTGATCCATCTCCCGGGCCTGGTCCATGTCTTCCCATACTGCAACTGTCCAGCATTATACAAGGTACCC